ATCTCTCAAGGGTCCTACCCCCATCCTAACATTTTATTTACCCATAATGTACTTAAAGAAATTGTTACTGCTAATTTTTACATTTTCAGCCAACATTTTCTCATACATCCTTTTTGATGTCCTACTTTCCTGTTTCAGTCAATTTAAATTTTCTAAATTTATGATGCTTTTCTTTGATTTTATCTCTTAAAGTCTTTGTGAGCCAATCTGGTTTTTTTACTTGCAACTACTCTTTTCTTTTTATAATGAATATGTTTACCTTGAATATTTAAAAATCCAAATAATTCAGCTGCCCAATTCACAACAGATAATTCTTATCATATCTATAATATAAAATAAGAGCCTCATCTTTTCAGTTTGCTAAGATATTGCTCATGTAATAAACACAGTGGCACCCCACCCACCTCTTTCCACTTTTGGAAATGCTCCCTTACTTCTATATATGACATGAATAACCAATCGGAAGCTCAGAATGTCCCTCTATTGGCTTTCTCAACCATTTTAATGGACTTGGCGCCATTTCTTTCTTTTGAACCAATATTTCAAAGCAGTAGGATGTGTTTTTAGTGTCTGCTCAAAATTTCATATTTTTTAGACTAAAATACATCTTAGTTACTAAACTTTATAAATTATAGTGGAATTCTGTGGTATTAATGTAGTAATTTATGATTTTTTAGCTATTCAAATGTATATATAAAACCTAAAAAAAATATTTTGTTTCATATCCTCCACATGCAAAATTTTAAAGTCTTAGCAACTGACGTAAAGCAACAACTGAGTACAAAGGTCATAACTAGAAGAGATAATTGTTTGATTTACTTCTTTATTTACTGTTCTATGTTTAGGAAAAATTTGTTTAAGAACTTATTTCAAAATAGCAATAATCTATAAACACATATAATGTATAATAATTGAAATGTGACTGTATTTTACAAAATGCTAGTCTACCAAATTCATGACAGCCAAGACAAGTTACTTTGCACAGACCAAAAGTTAATTTTGTTATTTGATAGGGTAACATGAGTGCACGTGAGCTGCGTCATTGTAATTTCTGTATTATTAGCCAACCCATACAGAGATTATTTACTGAAAATAACAGATAAAATATAAAGTTTTTTCTTAAGAAATGTTTGATAACTATCTCGACATTATAAGGATTTCACATGTGAAATTTCAAAATTTTCTGATGCATGAAAGTGTTTTTAATCTTAAAATGAATATTACTTTGCATGATAGATAGCCAACATTCGAAAAGAAAAATAGACATGAGAAAAACATTGCTTTATAAACCTTAAGACTAAATAATAAAATTTGATATTTTGCATCTGAAAGCATTGTAATGTTTACTGATAATATGCCAAATTTTGTTAAGATTTATTTGCCTACTAGTTATCGCATGAAAAGTATAACAAGCACAATATGGTTATGAGGTCGTCCGACGGGCCTAGCCTGTACTGAAAGAGTTAACA